TTTTTCTTTCTTTCTTTCTTTCTTTCTTTCTTTCTTTCTTTCTTTCTTTCTTTCTTTCTTTCTTTCTTTCTCTTCCTTCCTTCCTTCCTTCCTTCCTTCCTTCCTTCCTTCCTTCCTTCCTTCCTTTTGTGGTACTGGGGATTGAACTCAGGGCCTTGCCCATGCTAGGCAAGCATTCAACCACTGAGCTACATCCCCAGCCATTTCATGTTTTTTGAGCAAAGTAATTTGAGCAGCCTCCCATCTTTGCCAGCACTTCATTTAAAGGTCAAACACACCTTTCACTTAGAAATAAGACAAATGTAGTCACTAAGCAGTTCTGAAAACATATAAAAATCAGAAAAAGCTGGTTCTTGATGTAACTGGTCTATTTTCTTTTCAACCTCTGCAAGCTAAGACGAAGTACTAGATAAGGCAACATGATCCTCAGAATTACCTAATATGGCAGCATTTTCCACAAAGGCTGAAAGTTCTTTTCTACAATAGACCAAGGCTTCAACACTGGCATGATGTTTCCTAAGTTTCTGGTCAAGATTCTCAAATTGTCACTGCTTTTCTTCAAACCATGCATCCGATTCATTCATCTTGATTGTCATTTTGTTGAGGGTGTCAGCAGCCTTGTTTGCCATCCTCAATATTCTTGCTCCACTCAGAGCCTATGTTTTAACTGCCCCAGGCAGCTCCAAACTTTCCAAGAATTGCCTTAAATCAGAATCCTGTCGTAAAGTTGGATGTTTTACTGTTCTTTGAAAATACCTTTCAAGGATGTTCTTCAGTTTTCTTCAAACTCAGTAGATGATGAATCTTCTTTACCTACTTTTGACCTTGGTCATACCTACTATACTCTTTTCTGGAGCTGAAAAGAGTAAATTGAAAATGTACTCTTACTAACATGAGTGTCTAACATGAAAAGAGAAATCTTTGCTGTTACTCTATATGCCGTGTAAACATTCACACCATCACCAACTTTCTCTGGATCTGACACACACTTTCTATATCAAAAATATCTCCATTTGCCTCTTCTTCAGTCTCTTCCTTGTGTCTGTCAAAGATCACAGGAGCTGACCTATTCTTTGACTCAATTCAAGGAGCAATAAGTGTAGCAGGGGTGACAGGTGTGACTACAGGGGAAGTTTTGAAGGACAGGATAGAGTCCCCCTCTGGGTTGTCCGAAGAAACTTATGCACAAAGATCTTCTCTGTCATCATCTTGTATAACTTCTGATGGTCTGGGGGCCATTGGGGTTTGCACTAATATCCTCTAGAGGAAGCAGGCTGGTTCTGGAGATGATCGACTTGACTCCAGGGTGGAGACAGTGCTGGTGAGCAGGTCCTCTCTGTCCTCCAGCCCTTCAAAGTTGGGGGGCTGGCTTCCTGTCCCCCTGAGGAGAAGGCTCTTTCTGGCCGCCATCCTTACTTGCCCACATGACTGTGCAAGCTGGGCTTCGAGGACCTTTCATATCTATTTCGTCTGATATTAGTAGAGCTGTTCCAACTTTCTCATTATTGGTTGCATGGTATGTCTTTTTCCCACCCTTTCAATTTCAACCTCTTTGTGTCTTTGAATCCAAAT